AGTTCCCCTTAACTCTTTAGCATTTTTGCCAAACGGCGTTTTTTAACTTTTTTTTTTCGCGAGATATTCGCATTGGAAGTTTTCAAATTTACACCCTGTATGGTATTTATAGTGAATATCATTGTACGTCAGACAGAATTATAAGAAGATATTTATTATAAATGAGTGATTCATTCTGACAAGTACAACCATAATTATTTTATGCCAAACTGGCAGACTTTGCTTCTCTATCCATGGTTACATCGTTCAAAACATCAACGCTGATAGACCAAGGGTGGTTCAGAATTAAGATTTTCAACCACCTTGTATCTATTTCAATTAAATATCAATTGATAGTAGATGAAAAGTTGAGATAAAAACCGTTTTGACTAATTATGCATAGTTTCGACACAAGAAATTCTTGAAGTTGAAAAATCTCGATTTTTCACACCCTATATCTTTGTTATCATTCCCGCTAGACCCCAAGTGTAATAGATCGATGGAATCAGCTCTTTAGGAAGAATATTAAAATGGAATAATATATAGGGTGTCCCATTCAAGAAATCAAAGATGTTGCTACTTTTCAATATAAGCGCAGAAACGTCTAATGTGCCATCCAGCGTGAATCAGCCTGTATACTTTGTGTATGATAAAAGGGAATAAAAATCTGTCTTCGGATTTGCTCGAGACAAATTCAATATATTTCGTTTTCGGTGCCTCAACCTGTATACGTAAATGCAATTTGTGAAAGTTCAACCAACATACCTACTCTGAATTTTTTCCGTCACTGTTCTTATGCCTTATGAATTATTATCGTGGGCTTTTATGGGGTCGTGCAATCATAATTAATTTATGGAACTTGCAAATATATTTTCCGCTGAACGTCATTCCAATGATGTATTGAAATGTTCAATAATACGACAAACCATGTTTATGGTACGACAAATGATTATTACTCTACTGAATATTTACTGTTTTTAATTGATTTCCTTTGTCAACTGCTTTGGTACTTGTATACACCGTGTCCCAGCTAAAATGTCCCCCCTAGTAAAAAATCAACCGCGCTATCGAATGGCTTGAAATTTGGTCACGATGATGCTCACTCGAAATATGCTATTGAATAAATCGTAGGTATACAGGGTCACACTGAAATGCACTTAAACTTTACTATTTGAATAGTAGAGTAGAGTTCATTATTACAAATTGAACAATGCCGGGTTTGATGGGATAATAAAAATATGAAAAAAAAAACGATTCAATAAAAAATGTATATTAGATTTTATTAATATAACATGATTGAAATCTAATGATGGGTGTCCTGCACATAACCGCAGACAAAAAATAAAACGATTCAATTCAAAATTTATATGATTAGATTGCATTAATACAACACGATTGAAATCGGATGAAAAGAAAATAATTGAAACCTCAACTGCTCAATATGTCGTCCATTCTGCTGCAAATATTTTCTAGCTTTTTCGATAACGATCTTTGTGACCATATGTATCACGTTGCGATCAATTTGTGCGCATAAATTTGTGATTTTCTCTTTCATTCCTTCCATATTCACAATTGGCGACTCATGCATAAAGCTGTTGTTTCAAGTAGTCCCACAGATAAAAATCAAGTGGGGTGAGGTCTGGCGACCGAGCTGGCCAGTTGCTATCACCATCGAGACAATTGGTGGTTATCATATTTCCTCCAAACCTATGGCGAAGATAATCCTTCACGGGCCTGCGGTTATGTGCAGGACACCCATCATTAGATTTCAATCATGTTATATTAATAAAATCTAATATACATTTTTTATTGAATCGTTTTATTTTTTGCCATATATTCGTAGTCATTTGAAAAAATCCCATCAAACATTGTTGAATTTGTAATGATGAACTCTACTTGAATATGGAATAATATACTGGGAGTCCCTATTGAAATAAGAAAGTTGAGGTACACTTCGGTGTGACCCTTATTATTTAAAATCAAAATAATTGTGCTGCTTCATGTTTAACTTGAAATATCTCGAAAAATAATGACGCTATGAAGAAAGAGTACTATATTTACGAAGAAGGTATTGAAGAATCGAAAAATTCTGATAAAATTGCAATTCCGCCAGTGTCGTAGAATTTGGGAAGGACCAACCAGTCACTTGCCCCTGTCGTACGCCTCTGGTAATAGCTAGAAAAGTTCATTTCACATGATTCAGGTAGATGTATAATACCTACACTTCCCTCTAGATATGAAAGTAATACGTCAGCCTTGGTGCAGAAATGTGGCGATGCTCTTGAGAAACTAGCTGAACAGAAGGAAGTCGAACTAGTATGGGTTCCGGGGCACAGGGGGGTGCCCGGGAACGAGGTGGCCGACGAGCTGGCTAGAATCGGATCCGCGACACCGTTCTGGGGGCCGGAGCCTGCACTGGGCATAACAAGAAGCCAAACTTCGTCTGCCCTTAACAAATGGGCGGACGAGGCACTAGAAGTATATTGGAGGCGTATAGGCGGCTGCAGGCAATCGAGAGACCTGGTGGCCGGTCCTAGCAAGCCAAGGACGGCTTGGTTGCTGGGCAGGGATCGCCAAGTCCTGCGCCTTCTTATAGGGATACTAACAGGGCATAACAGGTTACGCAGACACCTATCACTCATAGGTGTGGAAGATAGTCCCACTTGCCGCGAATGCGGAGAAGATGAGGAGACATCACTTCACTTCCTCGGAGAGTGTGAGGCGTATGGAAGGATGAGATTCGAAATCTTTGGAGTAGATAAACTACAACAGGAAGACTTGGTCGAATTAGAGTGGACGGACATCCTGACCTTCATCAGAAGGACGGGAAGGTTCGAAAAGGACAACTAAAAGAGGGATGTGTAGATATGTGGAGAGCAGGGGTTGGCAAAAAGGGCCCATGGGGGCCTACTTGCCTGGCTACAGCCTCCCCACAATACTACTACTACTACTACTAATACGTCAAATAGTTTTGAAGAACTGGACAAAAAACATTTCAAAATTTTTGAATAAGACACCATGTAACTCAGGCAGGAGACATATTTTATCTAGGTGATTTTGGTTAAATCTTCATATTTTGAGGTCGGGATTCTATGATTGGAATATTTCCAATTAGTAATGAAACACCCTGTATATAAATTTGACAATTCTATTTTGTAGAGGAGGAAAAGTGGCAATGATGAAGTGACATTCACTTTGGAATTTATCTTCAAATACACTGAGTAATAAATAAAAACGATTTTGCATATTTTCCTTTTTCCGGATATCTCCGGAAATAATTGATTTTTTTTTATTTCAAAGCAAGAATTTGTCGACCATAAAAAGGTTCAACATAGCCCCAATTCAACCTACTCTGTATCTAAGTCGTGAAACCATCCATCTTCTCAAAGTTGTTCAGAATTTTTCAAAGGAAAAATACAAAAAAAAAACTCTGTATCTATTAAGGTTAGGTTAGGTTATAACACCCTGTATATCATTTCAAAGTTTGTCAAAATCGAGTTCATGATATACATATATATATACATATTTTGAGTTGGTTCCAAAAAACATTATAACGTCCGACGATCGTAACACTAGACATAACTATATTCGGGCGATTGGTCATTCAGTCATTTCCTTTCAACTGGCAACACTGTATGTGTTGACATATTGACGTCACTATCAACCCAGCGTGAAAGTCCTTCACCAAGCTATACAAATTTGAAAAGAATCTGTTGCATCTTGAATTATTAGTGTAAAACTCACCTCGATTTCGAATTTCCATCAAATCTGTCGATAATTTTATGTTCATAAATTTAATAGCCGATGAGAAATCGTTCAATAGGGTGGAAAGAGTGAAAAGCAGTTTCTCCCACAAAATGAGGTCAATCTGTTGTCCATTCCTTCCTGTGGGATTTTGTTTTTATCGAACATAAAACGAGTAATGGCCACTTCAGTTCCAGGATGAAATTACGCTTAAATAGGGAATGAACCTCGGAATAAATTGTTAGAAAGTACTGTATGAAGATATTCAAATAGGTTTACCGAATGGATTCTAAATACGACTACTCTCATTACTCATTTCCTTTTATAAGGCTGATTAATTCCCATAATAAAATTCAGTATCACTATTTTCTCTTCTTCTTTTCTACTTCTTCACTTTGTGTGCTGCGTTAAAGTGTTCAAGAACATTTTCTACAAACTTTTCGGATACCTGGTGAAAATGTCAGTTTTTGGACATGATATAAATTTAATAAAGATCGAAGAATCAGCAACAATTTTTAATGAAAGACTGAAACAACCATGGAGTTTCATACTAAAATCAGAAAGTGAGATCGTTTTATCCATACTCCTTGTGTGATTCTTTGTTCATTTGATATTATTGTTATTAGTTTTCATCAAATAGCTTACTTTATACCTGCATCAGATATTATTACATCATTTTCATATCGAAATATTCGTATCAAGATTCACCAACTGTACCCTGGTGTGAAATTGAATGATGTTCAAGTTCACATAAAATAAGATAATCTAACGGTTCATGTATTGAAAAGCGCCCTTAGAACTTTCAAAATTTGTCAACTATTCTAACATTGTATTGCTATTGATAGAGCAATATTGGAGTTTTCCACGATAGTCCGGAATCCATTTTATATTAAATACACTTCACGTATTGAAAGAGTGCAACATAAGTTGCTTAATTTGATAAATTACAAATTTGACAAGCAACGTCACTATTATTCGTATAAGTCAAACCTAACTTTTTATAATTTCAACTCATTAAAAGATAGGAGACTTTTTTTGTATGTTATATTATTTTCGTCATCTGGTCAACAATATGGTCGGCTCTGGATATTGTCTTCAGTATTTTGAGTTGTAAATCTGATCACAGGAGGTCATGAAACTCAGATCATAGACCATCTAATAGTTCTGTTCGAGCTTCGGTTTGAGTAGAACATTATGAATTGAAAATATATATCTGAATCGTTCATTTTATTCCAAAATACGACGGTGAATCAAAATATACTGAATCATCTTTCTCTGACTTGCTTATTATTTCCTTTTTCATTCCAGATGATCCTCTTGCATGTCGGAGAGCACCTCCATCGGCGACGGTATCCGAGGTGGCTGTGAGTGACCTCTACCAGCGCCATCTATCGTCAGCCCCCCGAGCCATGGGCAACAACAGCTGCTGTTGTTGCCGCAGCGAGAGATCCCTTCCCCCCGGCAAGATCAATCCCGATAGTAAGTGTACCTCAACTTTTTTTTTTCTTATGTTCTGGTTCCCAGGAAAAGGGATATCCTGTAATGTTCAGAGAACATCGTGAGAACCAAGGAAAATAAGGTAGGAATTGGTGTTCTTCTTGAATTTCTGGAGGTTATATGCCTCGGGGAACACCTCCCTTGGCAATGTGTTCCAGAGCCTCGCTGTTCCTTGAATGAACGAGTCTTTGGAAAGAGATGTTTCGCAGGTCCACAAAGGGACCACGAAGGGGTGCGAAGCCTCAACTTGACGGGTTAATCTCGCGGAGACTGCCAAGGGAGGAGCAATTGTTGATATTTCAGAAGAGCATTGTCCATGAAAATATCTATAAAATAGAGCCAGATCGCCAACTTTTCTACGGTGTTTCAGAGAAGTGAGTGAGTTTGTGAGCGAGGCACACGAGACGAATTGCCCTTCTTTGGACAGAATCCAACAGTTTCAGGGTATGTTTGGGTGCTGCACTCCGAATATGGGGAATATACGCAGCTGACTGGAAGTGAATAGCTCCTGGAACGAAACATAAAAACTAGTTTTTGGGATGCACTTTTAGCAATTGATCTCATGTGATTTTCCCAAGAAAGGTTATTGCTGATAGTAATACCAAGCATCGAAATGGATGTCTTCAAAGGTATGGTTACTCCTGACAAGCTTATATATGTTGGGCACAGTGAGATCGGCTTTTCTATAGAGAAAAGGCATGCTTGTGTTTTGTTCGCATTGAAATCTACCAAGTTATTGGATCCCCATTCGAGAATTGTTGCCAAGTCCATATTTATGATGTCAACATTTCTTCCTCGTTCGTTTCTGATTTGCCTGGCTGGTATTGGAGACCTGGAAGAGAAGGCGGTATAAAGGGTACTATCATCCGCGAAGCTTTGTACTGGACATGAAGTTGTTTTCAAAAAATCGTTGATATGTAGTAAAATAGTGTTGGTGCAAGAATTGATCCTTGCGGAACACTAGCATTTATGATAAGAGAGTCAGATGGAACTCCGTCGACCAATACATGGAAAGACCTGTTTGAGAGAAAACTATAGCTAGTCACTCAGTCACTCAAATATTGCCGAGGATATTGCACCAGTGTTGACACCCAATGCATTTCTGGCACCTGATTATTCCACTGAACTATGATTATTCGAGGTACGAAGGTTACGTTTGGTTCCACTACCCCAAAATGCGTCTATTGTGACTCATCCCTAGAGCACAGTTTAAGGCGTGCAGTATATGGTACTCCTATTCACATAGTCCATCGTTCAATGAGGTGAGTCTCTCTTGGAATTGAAATTTTTTTCTCTAAATGTGTTCAGCTATTTGATTCACAGCTGTTTAGGCTTCCATTCACCTCACGACCATGGGACTACGGCTTGGAAGGTCAAGGTTGGTAATCTGGTACACTGTTGGTTCAAAGAAGATCATAATCTAACTAAACTATGGAAACTTAGATGGATGATTCCAAAACATTCACGAACATGCTAGAACATTTACGAACCTTGTAGAAGATTCTATAACCTTCTGGAACTATACTATATACTATATTTTTCACTGATCTCGAACATTCAAGACCATTCTGTGGAATATTCTGGAAATTCATGTCATGCAAATATCAACTAACCTTCTTGGCAATCGTGATCGACCAATTGCGGATACGCCAGGATAGATTCTAGAACATTCTAGTAAGTACCTCTAGACGATACATACGAAACATCACAGGATTTCTTGAACATTTTTCGACAATATCCTAACCTCTGGGAGATTGATTTTTCTACAATATGGGATATGCTGGAACACTATCGAAACTTTCAGAAGGGTCTATAACCTTCTAGAACCACATTATCTACTATTTTTGTCATCTATCTGGTCCATTCTATCGTCTGGAACATTCTGGGAACAATTAGGAAAAAGTCAAATACTCAAAGTGAAATTCAATGGTTACAAATAGAGAGAAACTCAAAGTCATTACCACAACAGTCCATGAAATGAACGAAAATGGTAGATAACGAGAGAAAAACAACTACTTTCCTGGCTATATGCCACGCAGAACATTGGATTACATCCTCCCCTAGTTGAAAACATTCGCCTGAAATGGGATCTTGTTTTGGAGTGTTCCTTTCCTTGCCCGGTGGCGTTCGGCGTTCGCGTTTCATTTCGCGGACGTTGAACCTCTCGTGGGGTATAAATGCTGAGATGGGTTTGAGTTCGGTCAGGTTCGCACCAGATAGCGGTCAAGAAGCTATCTGGGACAGCCCGGTACTGATGAGAGCCAACAGCTCGAAACTGGTCTGCAGGTAGTCACGCGTTCCTGAACCACTCATTGCATAGATTTCGGGAGGATGTAATTTGAGTTTCTCTCTATTTGTGATTCTAGGAACATTTTAGAAATTCCTGACATGGAATTAACCAATTAACTGTGACTAACCTTCTTTTGCAGTCGTGATCGCCCATCCAATTTTCCCCAAAGACACTCCTTTGGGCCCCGTCAACAATGTCGAGGACAGGTACAAACCGGCGCCGACCAAGCCGGCCGCTATTCCCGCCCCGCAGATCGTGGTGGCCATGTACGGGTACGACGCCAGGGACAGCCAGGACCTGTCGTTCAGGAAGGGGGACCGCATGGCGGTGCTGGGCGACTCGGAGGGCGATTGGCTGCAGGTGGAGCACCTGGGCACCAAGGACAGGGGCTACGTGCCAGGAAACTACGTGGCGCCCGAGCTGAGCGTCAGAAGTGAAGAGTGAGTATATCGATTTTTTTAATGGAAACAATCCGTCAATGACACTGCTTTCTTGGAAGTAGGCGACATCTAGGTTACATAATACGAACTTCAAACTGGGGGAAAACAAACTGTTGTCTATGGATAAAGTGCATAGACTACATTGCATTCAGCTTGCTGTAGCTGTAGTCAAACTTGTCAATGACATGAAGTATTGGCACTGTTGGTAGTGATGATGGTTGAGTTGGTTAATTTTTTTTACATTATTACATTTTCACTAGTTTAGTGAACAGTGAACGGTTGAAGAATTGGAGATAGTTCAAACAATTTAAACTAATTATGACGAGCAAATCAATTGACACATAAAAGAACAGCAACAAATGTTTACAATACCCAGATTGTCCTGCTTTGCAGGAACAATTACAAATCCATTGTTCTACAGGAGTTCCTCTGGAAATCAACTTCAATTTTACTTCATGTGGGAAAGATTTCATCGCCGAAGTTTGTAGACAAAGTGCAAAAATGTGCCGTTTGTTGAAGTCTTCTGCACACAAAATCACATGATTAGCACGGAGAACTGCTTCTCCTTCCACTACTGGTCGGCTTTTTCCATCTAGATAGTGCAAAATATCTGCCGAAAGAACATCTAGAACAGGCATTATTAGCGTTTTCGATCGAATATTGACAATTGATGTCAAGAAATTTAAAAACTTATCACTCTTATCAGTAAACTTTGTGCTTACCTGTCCTATAGCTTTATTAGTTCGTATTTGGATCAATAAAACTATCTATCTATCTATCTATCTATCTATCTATCTATCTATCTATCTATCTATCTATCTATCTATCTATCTATCTATCTATCTATCTATCTATCTATCTATCTATCTATCTATCTATCTATCTATCTATCTATCTATCTATCTATCTATCTATCTATCTATCTATCTATCTATCTATCTATCTATCTATCTATCTATCTATCTATCTATCTATCTATCTATCTATCTATCTATCTATCTATCTATCTATCTATCTATCTATCTATCTATCTATCTATCTATCTATCTATCTATCTATCTATCTATCTATCTATCTATCTATCTATCTATCTATCTATCTATCTATCTATCTATCTATCTATCTATCTATCTATCTATCTATCTATCTATCTATCTATCTATCTATCTATCTATCTATCTATCTATCTATCTATCTATCTATCTATCTATCTATCTATCTATCTATCTATCTATCTATCTATCTATCTATCTATCTATCTATCTATCTATCTATCTATCTATCTATCTATCTATCTATCTATCTATCTTTTTTTTTTTTTTTTTTTTTGAGAAGGAGAAATCGTTTACGACACCAGGTACTTGCTCTGCCTTTCCCTGGCGAATGGGGACTCCCGGGTGGAGTTGTGCAGACCCGGACTACCCCAATAAAACTCCTTCTATTCACGTCCACTCAGTTATTCTGGAACTAACTATTAGTCATAACATCAGAATAACTGAAGGTCCCTCAGCCGCCGTTCTCCATTATCCTTGTCGAAATGCTCTTTCATCTTCTTCCTTCTTTTTCATGATCTGCTTGATGTGGCTGTGTATTTTCTTCCAATTCCTTTCACTTTCAGTCATACTATTTATCACATTGTCGATTCTTATGTCTTGTCCAAAATCAGTTCTGAATTGATGCCTGTCCCTCTCCCATCTATTGCATGCGAATACCGTATGAGCCGGGGTATCAGTTTCTCCGCAATAAATGCACAGCTCATCCGTTACTTTTCCGATTCGGAAGGTATATACCCGGAAAGATCCATGGCCAGTGAGAAATTGTGTGAGGTGATAATCCAATCTCCTGTGTCTGCAATCCAACCATTTTTTGATGTCTGGGATTATCTCCTTGGTCCACTGTGCGACGTCTCTATTCGCATCCCATCTCTGTTGCCAGGTTGTAATACATCTCATCCTGGCTCTGGACTTTGCTGTCGCTAGGTGTTCTTCGCCTATATTGAATGTATCAATCCTTTCTTGAACAAGCAAGTCTATGGGTAATACTCCAGTGATAACTTGCAGAGCTTTCAAAGAGGTGGTCCTATAAGCTGACGCCACCCTCAACAGCGATTTTCTCTGAGTTGTTTCGAGTATTTGTCTGTGTCGTTTAACCCTGATTACTTCAGCCCAGACTGGTGCTCCGTATAAAACGATGGACTGTGCGACCCCTGCCAGTACCTTCCTCTTTTCTGAAGATGGCCCTCCGATATTTGGCATCACTCTCATCAATTGGGATAACCTTTCCTCTGCCTTTTTGGCACTTCTCTTGATGTGCTCGCGAAAGCTCAAATTATCATCAATCCAGATTCCAAGATATTTCACCACTTTTTGAGGTATGACTTCAACATCACAGACTGTGAAACGAATACCATCTTGAGCTCTTGATCCCTTCAGAATGATCGCCTCGGTCTTATGCGGCGCTAATTCCAAGTGATTATCATGCATCCAATTCTGTATTGTCGTTAGCGAAATGTCAGCGGCAATGCAGAGGTTCTCTTTGCTGTCGGCTTCGACCAGTAACCCCAGGTCGTCTGCATATGCAATTGTTCTGCACCCCTCTGGTAAGTCACTTCTTAGTACATCATCGTAGAGGACGTTCCACAGGGTTGGTCCAAGGACCGAGCCCTGTGGAACTCCCATCGTGACACGCATACTTTCTTGCCCTCTCAGTTCAATAGTTCTTCCGCAGAAATAGTTTTCAATTACGTTGATCAAGTACTTGCTTATTCTCGTTTGTCTGAGCCTGTTGATTATGAAGCTCCATTTAGCTGTGTTGAATGCATTTTTGACATCCAAAAGGAGAAGAACACACCACTTCCTATTAGAAATGTTCACCTGCTGTACTACCCACTGAATAGCTTGGATCGTAGATCTGCCTTTGCGGAAACCATATTGATTCTCCGATAAGCCGCCATTATCCTCGAGCTCTTTCACCAGTCTGTCCCTGATGAGAATTTCGTAAAGTTTCCCAAGCGCGTCCAGTAAACAGATTGGTCTATGAGAAGAGGCATTCTCATCTTCTGTGATTTTGACTTTTGGTATTAAAACCACCCTTGCACGTTTCCATTGTGCCGGAAACCGTTGTAATATCAACAGACTATTCAGTAGTTCCAGTATTTTTGTTGGAGCAGCTGCTACCCCAGCTGCTACCCCTTCCTTGACGGTTTCTGGTAAAATATCATCTATTCCCGCTGCCTTTCCCGACTTCAGTTTATTGGTTGCTGAGTGCAGTTCCTCCAAAGTGAATAATTCAACTGCTTCAACTGTTTCACTTCTGTCCCAGGTATCCATTTCGATTGGGAAGAGTTCTCCGACTATTTCCATTTTTCTTTCCGCGCTGATGTTATATGCTGTGGGTTGTATTTTCAGATGTCTCATTGCTATTTTGTACCCTTGTCCCCATATGTCTTGATCTAGTTGATTGCATAGCTCTTTCCACCGGTTTCTTTTAGACGCGTTCATCAGCTTCTTCAGTTCCTTCCTTGCCAATCTATATTCTTGTGTCATCATTTCTGTATCGTCAAGATCAGTCCTTCTTGCTCTCGTTAGGCGACGTCTTAACCTATTGCATTCGTTCCTTTTGGACTCAATAATCCCATTCCACCAATATGGCATCTGTTGATCATCTCTTCTAGGTCTCATTTGGCATCTTTCTTGGGCTGCCTTCAAAGTTTTAGTAATTTTCTTGATATCGTTGCAACAATGATCATTCATCTGAGTTATAAGTATTCCTTTCAATTTTTCCATGTTCAGTTTTGTGTTGATGTTGTTCCTCTGTTGGATTTTCCGCACCTTAAACGTTGTCACGATATCAAAGAATATATACCTGTGGAGGCTCATAGATTCTTCTTCTGAAACCCGCCAGTTCTCAATGCGTCTGGCTATTCTGCTTGTGGCCATCGTAATGTCGATGAAGCTTCTACTATTCGCCCTGACGAAGGTAGGAACGTTTCCGTTGTTAACGACAGCGAGGTCCAAAGATGCTACCCATTCTGCAATGTAAACGCCCCGTGCGTCCTCGATAGGCGATCCCCATAGAATTGATTTGGCATTTAGGTCCCCTAATAAAACTGCTTCTTGGTTCTGAGTCCTTACTTCTGTCATGATGGTATCAATGTAAGTTTTGAATGCGTCAAGTGTGATGTTGGGAGAGATGTAACAGCAGTACAAATCGAAATCTCTCATTCTCAGCCGTACGGCACCCTCGAGTTTGGTGATACTTATCACTCCTATGTTTTTATTTCTGCATAGTATCCCCGCGTCTCCTTTGGTATCGCTGATCCATTCTGACTTTTTGACTATCTTTTTATTCGGTTCGCTGATCAGAAGAAGGTCTATGTCTTCTTCTTCGGCTTTCGCAAACGCTAAGTCATGTGCAGCTCGTGCTCTCCCAAGATTCACTTGCAGAATCTTCATTCTGCCGACATCACCCATTCTTCTGTTTAGGCTTAGTTCGACGCTCTCATGGATGTCCTTTTAGCTCCTTTCTCTATCAAGGCCCTGAAAGCAGGGCATTTTATATGGTCGTTTCTGTGGCCATCTACCTCGCAAGTTAGGCAGTGAGGACTACTTTCGCAATTTTCCGCCTTGTGCGATTGTCCCCCACAGTTTCTGCAGGCATCGGCTTTGTCCTTACCTGTGCAGTCCTTCGTATGGTGTCCAAACTGAAGACATCTATAGCACCTTCGAAGATTCACCCTTTCCCTGAGTCGGCAGTTTATCCATCCAATCTTGATTCGACCTTGTTTGAGGAGTCTGTTCGCAAGTTCCTTGCTTTGTATGGCGACTGTTGCTGCCTGACCCCCATTTCGGTTTGGCCTGAGTGACTTCACCGCTATGAGTTGCCTATTCTCGGCTCCAACTATTCTTTCCACTGCATCTGAGACTTCTTTGATATCTGTTATCGCATCTATATCATTTATGTGTATCAAGGTTTCCTGCCTGTGTACTCTTATGTCAGTATGGTTTATCTTTTTGATGATTTCCTCCTTGAGAACATTTGCCTTGCCTTTTCCGCCCTCCAGCTCTAGCATTAGGTCCCCTTTCGCAGTCTTTCTAATAGTTTTCACATTGACGCCCATTCTGCTTATATCGACATTTGTTCTGATATCCCTCAGCATATCTGCATACGTCGTGCCCCCGCATTTAACGATCATTTTCTCTGGTGAAAACTTGTGTTTACTCTTATTTGTGTCTCCTAGAGTCCTTCCTATCAATGTAATATTGATTTCTTCGTTCTGGAAGACATACTCGAGAATCTTCCTAGGACCGTCATCCTTCAAGCCTTCAGTCATCATTATATGAATTTTGTCTGTCGGGTGAACTTTCATTGCGTCTTTCAGTTTTCTGACATGATCATATAGACTTCTGGTACTCTTTGTCCGTTCAGATGTTTCCGCCCACGGTATCAGGTATAAAGCGCGCACCCTTTCAGATTCCTCCTTATTTCTATTAATTGTCTTTGTTGCGTTCAAAACAAAGTCAACTTCGCCATCATTACTGCTTATCATTTCGTTCAGATCCGGGTGTATCAGAGTCAGTGTCTCCATAGTTTTGTCAAATTTCAGGTCCTGCGGGTTTGCAACGATGACCATATCTCCTGTTGTCTTGTGTACAGATACGTCGGTATCCTGAGCTTTGGTTCGCTTGAATAATTCCTCGGGCCATGGTTCGTCGAGTACTCCTGAGATACAGTCAAAACCTTCATCTTCCTTCAGTATATCCTTTATTCTCTTCAGGGTGGCTTTTTTAGATATCTCCAGTTCTTCCTCCAGATCGCTCTCTGTAACCTGGGTTCCAATGGTTGACATGCTCTTATTGTCATTCTGAGGGCATTGAGATTTCGTCTGTTGATCGGATCCTACGGAGTCGGATTCGATTCTTTCTAGCCATTCCATCAGTCCTCCCTTCTGAAGTTGTCTGGCGCACATGTCCAAGGCCGTGGAAATGTCTATGTATTCCTTCTTTGGTTTGTATGCGTCTTTCACGATTGTGTTAAGGAGGTTGATCTGTTTTAATATCGAATTCAAGTTCCTTTTGAGAGTTTTCGCATTTTTATTTGTATTGTCTCCAATCTTGACGGGAGTGTTCGCCTTCCGTTTTTTCTTACTTGGGTTCTCATCTTTGTCGTTGCCAGTGGTGTCGATCGCCAGGAAATCCAAGGTTTGCATTTCCGTGCTCATCTCGACTCTAGATTCCTTGAAGTTTAGGTACCCTCCAGGCGGACTTCTTGATAAAGAAGTTCTCCTCCAACCAAACTCTGGAATTTCTTCGGGTCCTCCATCAGAACAACCTGCTTCTCCCTCAGTTCCCGTTTTATTTATTTTCATTTCAGTTTCCATATGTGTCCCACGATTAGCTAGGGAACGGTTCTGTCAGCCACTGCAGAGCCCCGCATGCAGTGGTAAGGCTAAGTGCCCCTCCGGTTTGCCTCCTCCTTCGGGCATCGCTATTGACACTTCTGTGACCCCCTGTGCCACGCATCCCCTCGGCTATCTATCTATCTATCTATCTATCTATCTATCTATCTATCTATCTATCTATCTATCTATCTATCTATCTATCTATCTATCTATCTATCTATCTATCTATCTATCTATCTATCTATCTATCTATCTATCTATCTATCTATCTATCTATCTATCTATCTATCTATCTATCTATCTATCTATCTATCTATCTATCTATCTATCTATCTATCTATCTATCTATCTATCTATCTATCTATCTATCTATCTATCTATCTATCTATCTATCTATCTATCTATCTATCTATCTATCTATCTATCTATCTATCTATCTATCTATCTATCTATCTATCTATCTATCTATCTATCTATCTATCTATCTATCTATCTATCTATCTATCTATCTATCTATCTATCTATCTATCTATCTATCTATCTATCTATCTATCTATCTATCTATCTATCTATCTATCTATCTATCTATCTATCTATCTATCTATCTATCTATCTATCTATCTATCTATCTATCTATCTATCTATCTATCTATCTATCTATCTATCTATCTATCTATCTATCTATCTATCTATCTATCTATCTATCTATCTATCTATCTATCTATCTATCTATCTATCTATCTATCTATCTATCTATCTATCTATCTATCTATCTATCTATCTATCTATCTATCTATCTATCTATCTATCTATCTATCTATCTATCTATCTATCTATCTATCTATCTATCTATCTATCTATCTATCTATCTATCTATCTATCTATCTATCTATCTATCTATCTATCTATCTATCTATCTATCTATCTATCTATCTATCTATCTATCTATCTATCTATCTATCTATCTATCTATCTATCTATCTATCTATCTATCTATCTATCTATCTATCTATCTATCTATCTATCTATCTATCTATCTATCTATCTATCTATCTATCTATCTATCTATCTATCTATCTATCTATCTATCTATCTATCTATCTATCTATCTATCTATCTATCTATCTATCTATCTATCTATCTATCTATCTATCTATCTATCTATCTATCTATCTATCTATCTATCTATCTATCTATCTATCTATCTATCTATCTATCTATCTATCTATCTATCTATCTATCTATCTATCTATCTATCTATCTATCTATCTATCTATCTATCTATCTATCTATCTATCTATCTATCTATCTATCTATCTATCTATCTATCTATCTATCTATCTATCTATCTATCTATCTATCTATCTATCTATCTATCTATCTATCTATCTATCTATCTATCTATCTATCTATCTATCTATCTATCTATCTATCTATCTATCTATCTATCTATCTATCTATCTATCTATCTATCTATCTATCTATCTATCTATCTATCTATCTATCTATCTATCTATCTATCTATCTATCTATCTATCTATCTATCTATCTATCTATCTATCTATCTATCTATCTATCTATCTATCTATCTATCTATCTATCTATCTATCTATCTATCTATCTATCTATCTATCTATCTATCTATCTATCTATCTATCTATCTATCTATCTATCTATCTATCTATCTATCTATCTATCTATCTATCTATCTATCTATCTATCTATCTATCTATCTATCTATCTAAACAGTACACAAGCTAATGGCACTAATGGGATTGAGTGAGGATTGAGTTTGTTTTCCCCCAGTTTTGACGTGGCTTTGACATGGAACGATGAAAACCGAGCGCCACCTGGTAAGATTGATTCCCGCGAATAGCTACGATACAGTTTGGACTTAGATCAAATAAAGTTGAATCTATCGGATTGATGTCGCATCAATAGAGGCAGATTTTAAAGTCCCTGTACAGGAGATATATCACGAGTAGTATCGAAATAAAAATTAAATAAAAATAATAATTTGGTAGGTACTTAATTACAATTTTATAGCATTTATTAACTTTCATTATTTTTACCGTACTGAAATACCCTTTCAAAAATCCTGTTCAACATTTGTATACAGAGTGGGCCGTTGAAAACGAAACAGAGGCTCTGTAGGTCGCCAAAACCGGATTATAAAAAAAATCTGAAACACGTCAACTATATTTTCGAGGGGGACATCGTTCTAAAATATTTTCAGCCCTGCGGCGTTGCCGCTTCTAGAGAAAAGAAGCAACAACTTTGTTATTTCAAATGGAACACCATGTATTTTATTGCATTTTTAGATTCTCCCCGAAGAGCTGATTTCATCAATGCATCACACTTGGGGTCTAGCTGTGATGGTTTCAGGGATATAAAGTGTTCAAAATCGAGATTTTTCAACTTTAGCATTTTTTTGTGTCGAAACTATTCATTATTGGTCGAAACGGCATTCATGTCCCTATCTCAACTTATGAATTACTATCTACTGACATTTATTTGAAACAAATACAGGGTGGTTCAAGAATTTCTCTCGAAAGAAGCGAATTTGGAATGCCTCTTGTTACTTCAATTGACTACTCAAGACTTCAAAAAACTCCATGACTTCTAAGGACTGCAAAAAGATATCCCCAGGGACATCCACGTTATTCCAAAAGATTTCATTAGAATTGGAATTCCCAGTGACTTTCAGTAAGTTTCAAATTAATTTAATAATTTGACTCAAGATAACACCCAAAGACTCCATAAAACTTTCAATCCCTTTCGAAGATTCCTACTGATTTCATATTACAGTAGATAAACATCCATAACTCCTTTAATTTCAACTGACTTCCAGAAGACTTCCAGTGAGTTCCAATGTATTCCAGAGATTTTCAGTGACCTCACATGACTCCCAGCTCGACCCCCAAGGCCTTCATGACAGGTTCAAAATAACTCTTGAAGCCTTTGTTTTTTCCACATCTTGATTAATGCTTCTTCGAATAGGATTCATAGTTTTCTATATTTTTATTTTTCATTTCGACGAAAATGTAGTGATGGGACCAAAGAGGCAATGACAAAAAAAAAATGATGTAGATAGGAAGCAAGCTATTTTATTTTCCCCATTTTTCGCAAAATCGAGTGTGAAAATATAGTAATTTTCCTAACAAGTGCGGAACGAGGCGAAACGGGGTTCGGACAAAGCAGTCGAGTGCGGGAAAGACACTATGGATGTTTCTGAACAAACATACTTAGTACTGCAACAAAAAAGCTTAAACTTTCATTTCCATCATCAACCACTAGTGCAGGAAAAATTTTCCCACGCTAGTGCGGGAAAATGACACTTCCAAACTGAATTGCGTGCGGGTATAGGGAGAATCACGCACGCTTGTAGAAAAATATCATTTCCGGTAAAACTTGAAGTGCTCAGAAATGAAAATATTTCAGCAAGATTCAGCAAGTTTTCCTAATCCATCATCATTCCTCAAATTTTTATTCCTAATTGAGTTTGTAAATTTTCAACAGAAACTGTCTTTACTTGGAATCTGTATATAACGCAACTATAAGCAATATTTCACTGTTCAGCCATTAATCATCTACCTTCATTATTAATAATTGCATACAAAAATTCTAGTTATTTCAGCTCATCTCACTTTGTCTCCACTATTATTAGAAAACATGTGTCTTTATCAAAGGATGTTCTTCCTGTGGTTTTGATAACGTTCATTGTGAATCCCAATGTTAAATTTTGCAACTTCATAATTATATTTGTATTATTAAATTATTATGAAATTCTATCTACCAATGTTTTCTCCAGATGTGATTTTCTGTATTGCATTCCATACTGAAGTACCAAAAATATGAAATCGAAAAATTTCGACCTTAAAATAATTGTTTGCTAGGAAAAAATTGAAAATATCGAATTTCTATGCAATGAAATTCACAGAGGGTAAGGGAATTAACACATAATCGCAGATGATATCCAAATACTGTGGAAGATTTATTCCTTCATCTCCAGTCCAAAAATATGGAGTGATATATCAGTTGTTATTCTAGACTAGGTGGTCCTTTTTATATAACCCTGTGACTTGATAAATCACTATTTGTTGTCACATGCCTGTGACAGATATCTACCATCAAGTATAGATGTTCTTCATGTTTAGAAAACGTAGATAATAACTGTCAATAGGCAGTGATTTAGTACATTTCAGATTGATTATTTAGGAAACAAAACACATGTTTGTTTCTCTTCGCCCAGCTGGGTATATTGTAAACAAAGAGATCAACCAGTGCCGTGATCTTAAGTATACTAAAGTGCTTCGTAGAACAAAATAATACGTACTGGTGTCTGTTTTCAAAGATCTGTGGAACATTCGTATTATCTGTATTTTACTTATATTTTTAATTTACCATCTAAGAAAGATCAATTCGTTCGAAATAAACTACTCAACACTAATTTCGTCGCACACCAAAATATCGCCCCTGTTATAATGTGAATAACTTTTTTCAGTTTAGAACAATTTGAATTTGGTTCACACTGTTCGATAGCCTAGTCCTTCAGCTATAATCTGGTAGTTCATTGAAACATAAGGGTATTCACATAAAATCTCTACATGGTGTTTTCCGACACTGTGCAAAATTTCGGAATATTCAAAAGGCTCTCAAATGGTGAAAAAAATTGTTTTCTCATCTTCGACAACAGAGGCATGAAGATGATCTCATTACCTCAAGATATTTCGCGAATCAACTTCCTATCTCTCTTATTTACAGAGTGGTCTCAAAAAATCAACTTTTTGGTTTTGCAGCCATAACTTTTTGCCACCTCAACCGATTTTGGAAATCTTAGGCTCATTTTGAAGATAAAACTTCAGATGAAGAGATCTGGATATCAGAATTAACTTAAGATGGCTATCAAAGATCTAGAGTTTTCTTGAAAGTGACCTAAATCTGGAACGCCCTCCGAATCTCGGTTGGGAGGAGAATTGAATGAAAATCAACTTGTTCTCGGAAAAACAATTCATTCTGGATGCGTCCATATTTTCCTCGCTCTCAGTAGTCAAGAATGTGCGTGAGAAAACACAATTGAAACATGTTCTTGCAAAAACATTATATCATTTCTCCTCTGTAATGCATGGCCCGTAACCAACGTTACAAGAATCACAGTAAGTGACTGACAAGTCAGGTTAGACGTCGTTTTCGAATCATAAACAGATTTTGATAGTTTCGATGCCGCATCTAACGCCCGACCAGTTGGAACTGATTCCACAAATGAGGGAACAAGGGTCATCTTTCCTCCAAATCGCGGATCTGCTAAACACGACAGTCCGATCCATTCAAAGGGCTTATCTCCGACACGAATTGTTTGGTTATTACTGTCGATTCGTTCGGCGCATTATTGCGACTGAAAATTTTATGTAATTGGCAAACTGTTTTCATGAAACTTTCACCATTTTTTAAATGCGTTTTTACAAGAAATGTTTGCTTGAATACTTCTCCATATTCTTAAATCGCATGTTATGTACGTGACAACTGGTAAAAAAATCACTCTATTGAAAAAATCAAAATCCGTTGCTCTTGTTGGTACACCTTTTATGATGAGCCTCAGCTGGTCGGGTTTGTCAGTCACTCATTGTGATTCTTGTAACGTTGGTTACGGCGGGCCATGCATTACAGAGGAGAAATGATATAATGTTTTTGCAAGAACATGTTTCAATTGTGTTTTCTCACGCACATTCTTGACTACTGAGAGCGAGGAAAATATGGACGCATCCAGAATGAATTGTTTTTCCGAGAACAAGTTGATTTTCATTCAATTCTCCTCCCAACCGAGATTCGGAGGGCGTTCCAGATTTGGGTCACTTTCAAGAAAACTCTAGATCTTTGATAGTCATCTTGAGTCAATTCTGATATTCAGATCTCTTCATCTGAAGTTTTATCTTCGAAATGAGCCTAAGATTTCCAAAATCGGTTGACGTGGAAAAAAGTTATGACTGCAAAACCAAAAAGTTGATTTTTTGAGATCACTCTGTAAATAAGAGAGATAGGAAGTTGATTCGCGAAATATCTCGAGGTAATGAGATCATCTTCATGCCTCTGTTGTCGAAGTTGAGAAACAATTTTTTTTCACCATTTGAGAGCCATCTGAATATTCCGAAATTTCGCACAGTGTCGGAAAACACCATGTAGAGATTTTATGTGATACCCTCATGTTTCAATGAAATACGAGATTATAGCTGAAGGACTGGGCTATCGAACAGTGTGAACCAAATTAAAATTGTTCTAAACTGAAAAAAGTTATTCACATTATAACAGGGGCGACATTTTGGTGTGCGACGAAATTAGTGTTGAGTAGTTTATATCGCATATCAAGTGAAATTGTCTTGAACGTTTTACATTTCCTATTGGATTTTCCCATTTTGTTTTACCAATACCATATTCTTGGAGTGAAAAAACCCAAGCAAATTCGGTGTTTGAGAATATATCGCAGATCAGTTTTGGTGTAATATTCGAAAATTCCTCTAATGAGGGCTCCTCCAGAAAAATATCCAGAAATTTTCGATTTCTCCGTTCGAACGCTCCATATATAGCTTTTTTTATTGCCATTTGTCCAAAAATGTATGTAAGTCCCCAACTTTCAGGTTTCAATTTTCAAAATATGGTGCTATGGTACTATGAATAAATTAGTTCCTGAAGAATATAATTATCTTAGTAAGGTGCCATCGAGTCATGTTGGGAAATTTTCGAAATACTGCAATAATGAAAGTGTTCTTTGAATCGATCGTGATGAATTCGACATGTTTGCCCAATATACTTTAATTTGATTTCACTTCCATTATGATGGTTCTTCGAGAATACATCTACGGAGAAATCGAAAAAACTCCTGACGCAGATTTTTTGATACTTAAGTACAGAAATTATTTTCGAAATTTTGATTATTTCGTTTTTTTTTTATTAATTCATTGTACGAATATTCACATGTACAAGCTACTAATGATAGTGTAGTAGAAGGCCATGATATCTCAAATAATCAATTAACCTTTTTCATGGGTTTGAATCCCAGTTAGGAGATGGATGTATGTGTTTGTATGCTTCCCTGACCCCGCACAAGTTTCGAATACTCATGGGGTGTTTGGTCCCAGTGCTGGGATCAACAAGGTTATGCAATTGCAAAAAAATGTGGTCCTCAAAATAACATCATAAATAGGTGCCAGATCATGAAATGATGAAAATGTTCTTTGATTCGATAATGTGAAATCCGACGTGTTTGTCCAAAATATTCCCAAACGTGTTCGTCAAAATCAGCTACACAACTCATGTTTCTTCTATTCCAGCTGGTTCTTCGAGAAAATATCTAGGAAGGAGATCGAAAAACTGCTGATGGCAGAAGAAATGGCCGCAGTACTTTTCTAGTCCGTTCCTCGGAACACAACCCTAACGGGTACTCCTTCTCGGTCGATGACTGGGAGGAATACAGATTTCCCCAAGGAAAATCAAGAAATTAATTTTCTGAACTGTCTATTCATAGCTTCTTTGTTGCCATTTGTCCATATAATTATGAAAGTAACTAACATTCAGGTTGTAATATTCAAAAAATAGGTGTTAATAGATCACCCAGTAATTAAATCACTGAAAAATATCGTTATCTTAGTAAGATATCAGATCATGTTGGGAAACACTTTATTTTCGAATTATCGCAAAGATGAATGTGTTCGTAAAAACGATCGTGTTGATTTCAACATGTTTGTCCAATATATTTTTTCATTTGAATCTTCTTCCATTATGCATCTTCTTCGAGAATTAGTGTAATAATAAATCCAAAAACTCCTGTTAATCACTTTTTTCAATTCTTTATTCTTTTCGTTGTTTGTTTTTCATGCATTCCTTTTTGTAAAAATATTTCACATGAATAAGCTACTAACTCGGCTACTATTGTGTTAGCGAAGAATTCTGTGGAAATCTTATCATTTCGTGAAGTTTTTCATATAGTGATTGGTGTGTTTTGCAACTACAGTGCGATTATTTAGAAAAAAAATGTGAACAGACCAAACCTCAAGCAAAATCAGTCTCTCGGAATTACGCAAATCAAATGAAATTGTCTCGGAAATTGTCTTAAATTGTTCAAATTTCAATTTTATAGGTTTGAGTGCTGGGTTTATTGCCATCTGAACAAATACTTATGGAAGTTACAATATCTATATTGTATTACTCAAAATATTCCAGGTGCCAGAGCAACAATTCATTTTCGAATTACTGAAACAATGAATATGTTCTTTGATTCGTTAATGTAAAATTCCCCGTGTTTGTCCAATTTATCTGTTAAAATCGGCTACACTACTAATTTTTCTTTCTATTTCAGCTGGTTCTTCGAGAATATATCTAGGAAGGAAGCCGAAAAACTGCTGATGGCAGAAGAAAATGGCCGCGGTACTTTTCTAGTCCGTCCCTCGGAACACAACCCCAACGGGTACTCCCTGTCGGTCAAGGACTGGGAGGAATACAGGACGTTCCACATAAAGCACTACAAGATCAAACCGTTGGACAATGGCGGCTTCTACATTTCGACCAATAAGACCTTCGCCTCCCTATCTGAGCTGGTTACTGCGTATACGAGTAAGAACTGTCATTCTTTGGGTTAATTTTTTGTATCAGTATTCCACTTGAAGTAGCTAGTTTTTGAAAATTTCGTGGAAACCTATACTAGAGATTGGAAGTTGGCAAATGTATCGATATTTTCAGATCAAAAATCATCGTTTTATCGACAATATAAACGTATAGAATTTTCGAAATGATCAAAATCATCAAAATCATCAAAATCATCACAAGTCCTTCAGATGTTATCGATAATTGTTTTTCCATTTCTATAAAACATTTTTATTTGGCATAAATATGAAAACAACCCGATTGATGAAATCACAAGTCCATAGGACGAGTGGTTTTATCTAATTCGGTTTGTTTGAATGATTTTACCTCAAATAAAAAAGTTCGAGTGATGAAAATAAAGTTATCGGATAAAATTTGGGGGACGAGTTGTATTTGGGAAGATTATTTTCCCACCGATTTGAGAAAAACACACATTTCACGAGTCACAGTAATTCTACTATTGATTCAATCATCACACATAATATAAGAATAAGAAGATAATTATCGCAGATGGTTGAAACCTAGGAATGTTATTGTTCATGAAGGGAATAGTTTTTATGCAGTCCAGTGATAATTATTATCATTGATGCAATCATCACACATAATTATAAGAATAAAAGAATTAACGCAGTTGAGTCTTCACTCTTAATTTATAGTTTCGTTTTGACAGGTCAATGTAAATTATTGAGGACCATGCAGTGTTATCAGTATAATACCGAATGATTGGCTAGAATAACGGATTGCTATTGGTTGGTACAACGAAAACGTCATATTTTGACAAGTGAAAAAAATAATCGAAATTATAGACATAATCCAAATTCTCACAATTAATGAAAATGAAATCCAAATCATCTAGAAAATTGGCCAAACTGATCGCCCTAACTTTTTAATTTCTTGGCCGATTTTGGTGAAATTCCGTCCAAATCGTAGATTGATGTTTCGAAATGTTAGCCTGAATTATTGTTTCCATATGAAGCTAATGACTTAATCATTACACAGGGAAAAATAAAAGTTACTATTTTACGCTCAGCTTCTCAACGCCCTGTGGCAAAAGTGAGTGGTTGAACTTAGCTCAATTATGTTTTGAATTGAAGTGTGATGCATTCTTAACACATTGGTATTTTTTTCACGTCAATGTCATCCCTTTAAGGGAAGATACAAGTGTTTCAAGAAAGTATGGAAACAACTCGAAAAAACGTCTAAAAATTTATATCACTTAACTCAATTACTCGAAACAAAAGAAAAGCAGACCTCCTAGATGTAGTCAATAACGAGTATGCCCTCCTCAAGCTTGAATTACAGCATTCAACCGCCGTGGCATCGACTCGATAAAATTTGTTAAGCAGTCTGAGGAGTTGCTCCAAATTCTATTTGAAGGACAAATCATTTACCTCCCTATAGCATCCCTAAGATGCTATAGGTTCTGAATTATTGATAAAAATTTAAAAAACTCCAGACTTTCTTAAAACAGTTGTATTTTCTCTTGGAAAGATGATATTGACGTGAATCAAGAACCATTGTGGTAAGAAGAGACAAGAAGGGATCAAACTTCAATATAAAACATGATGAAGCAGAAGGTCGGAGATAGAAAATAATAAAAATGAAAACAATCCATACTTTATTAAATCACTCTTTCATCCATAACATGATGAAGCCTGTATAATGATCAAACCATCAGCTTTTTTATTAAATTGAAATTCAGGCAAAATTTTTTGCTGGCCGGTTTTTTTTGCTGGGGAGTATATACCGTGATCGTTCCAGAAAATGCGTTCGGCTTGTGTCACGTGCTGGCGAAGCCCTGCAAAAGGCCGCAACCCACCATGTGGGACCTGGCGCCCACGTACCGCGACAAATGGGAGATCCAACGGGACGAACTGATCCTCATCCGTCGTCTGGGCAGAGGGAACTTTGGCGAGGTCTTCTACGGCAAGTGGAAGAACAACATCGAGGTAAGGATCTCAGACTGAATAAATAAAGTATATCTCAACAATCCTAAACGTCAAACACGGATGAATGAATGAAATCGTGAATGGTGGGGATAACTCTTTTTCGAGGTCTTCTACAGCAAGTGGAGGAACTACATCGCGGTGAGGATCTCAGACTAAATAAATAAACTATATATCAACAATCCTAAACGTCGAACACGGATAAATGAATGAAATCGTGAATGGTGGGGATAACTCTTTTTCGAGGTCTTCTACGGCAAGTGGAAGAACGACATCGAGGTAAGAATCTCAGACTGAATGAATCAAGTATATCTCAACAATCCTAAACGTCAAACACGGATAAATGAATGAAATCGTGAATGGTGGGGATAACTCTTTTTCGAGGTCTTCTACGGCAAGTGGAAGAACAACATCGAGGTAAGGATCTCAAACTTAATAAATAAACTATATATCAACACTCCTAAACGTCAAACACGGATAAATGAATGAGATCGTGAATGGTGGGGATAACTCTTTTTCGAGGTCTTCTACGGCAAGTGGAAAAACAACATCGAGGTAAGGATCTCAGACTGAATAAATAAAGTCTATCTCAACAATCCTAAACGTCAAACACGGATAAATGAATGCTATCGTGAATGGTGGGGATAAATCTTTTTAGAGGTCTTCTACGGCAAGTGGAAGAAAAACATCGTGGTAAGAATGGTTTATTTTTGATCAGTCAACTCATCAAAATATCAACTCATCTATTTTTGGTCAAAACTTAGCACTGGAAGTAGACTTTTCTGTTCAATAAATCAACGAGGCATTATGTGTTGATTACTGAGTGTGTTGAATTTTTTTTTTAATTGACTGCCAATACATGATGGACATCCATAGTGATCTTCCTCTTCTCTCTCAATATCTGTGTTATTGTTATACTCCTCTACACTCGTTTCTCTTCTAATCTGTCATGCTGGATGTTCCTTGAATCGAGTTTAAACGAATCTTCAAGTTTGTCCAGCAAGAATGGCCTTAGTTCACTGTGATAATTTGAAACTCCAGCTTTATAAATTCAACTATAACATATATAGCATAAGTATTATCTCAGAAGTCTGTAATTTGTACCAGCTGCTAATGAATTATTATTATCAATATTATTATATCATCATAATTTTAGCTGATTTCCTAAAAACCATGAGTTTACCTATCAAGGTTTGAAAAATCGGTTTTAATCTCAATGAATGAGTTTTGAACTGTTTTGCTCAGTCCATCTATAACGTTGTTGAAATCAATTGAAGCTAAAGAATCGGTTGTTACGGCAACGCTGTTTCACAGGTGGCTCTGAAGATGCTCAGAAAAGTCACCATGTTCTTTCTGAATTTATGTTCAACAAACCATTTTGTGTCAAAAACTGATTGAATCAAGAATATTTGCCAAGTTTCGTAAAGGAATTTACTTGCTGCGAATGGATGTACAAAAATTGGTATCTGACATGACGTCAAACCTCACCAGAGCCATCTGCTCTCAACTTTCCAGAACACCTGCAATTTGCCATGTGTTCCTTGAACCTAGTTATAACGAATCGTCTAACTTGTCCAACATAATTTTTAGCTGATACTAAAAAAATGTTGTTGTTGAGTTTGCGCACCAAGACGTTGAGAAATTGGTTCTCATTTGACTGTGAAGACTCTCAGGAAAGGTCCATGTCTAGTGTTGCCTTCCTGCAAGAAGCGATCATGATGAAGAAGTTCTGTCACGAAAGGCTGGTGATGCTGTTCGGAACAGGAGCCAATCCTTATCGTAGTAATGGGTTTCTTAATATCCGAGCTATCTTCTTCTTCACTCGATTTTTTCAAACTCGCTATCTGCTAGATATTTATTGAACCTAGTTATAGCAAATTTTCTAGTTTGCACAACATAATGTTCGGCGCATATTGCAAAAATCAGGATTTCTCTGTTGAGCCGTTGAAATATTGGTTGCCATCTTTGATTGTAGGTGGCTGTGAAGACTTAGAGAGGGGACCAAGTCGACTACCACGTACTATTTGGTTTCTTAATATCCGTTTTATGTCCTCCTGCTATCGATTTCTTTCCTAATTCGCTATACACTAGATGTTCCTTGAACCCAGTAATATCGAATTTTCTTGTTTGTCCAACATAATATTTGGCTGATATTGAAAAAATCAGATGGCATCGAAAAATCGGTTCTCATATTTGATTTGAGATGAATGTGAAGACTCTTGGGAAGGTTTCATGTCGACTGCCGCTTTCCTGCGAGAGGCGACCATCATGAAGAAGTTCCGGCGCTGTTCGGAACAGGAGTTGATTTATATCGTAAATGTTTTGTGAAGTTTTCACTATGTGTCAATTTTTCAATCATAATATTTCTGTTATTTCCTAGTGTACTCAATTTTTTGATTTCGTCGCTAGATGTTTCCTTAACCTGGTTATATCGAAATTTCTAGTTTGTCCAATATTTCACTGATATAGTAAAAATCAGGTGTTTGCGCATCGAGGCATTGAAAAATCAGTTTCTATCTTTGATTGTAGGTGGCTGTGAAGACTCTTAGGGAAGCCACCATGTCGACTGCCGCTTTCCTGCAAGAGGCGGCCATCATGAAGAACTTTAGACACAAGAGACTGGTGGCGCTGTTTGGAACAGGAGTTGATCTTTATCGTTGTAATTTATTGTGAAGTTTCTACAATGTGTCAATTTTTGAGTAATATTATATGTGCTATGTCCTAGCGCACTCGATTTTTTCATTTCGTCATACGCTAGATGTTTTCTAAACCTGGTTATATCGAAACATCCAATTTGTCCAATATATTTCAATGTATTACTGATATAGGAAAATTCAGGAGTTTGCGTGTCGATGCATTGAAAAATGAGTTTCTATCTTTGATTGTAGGTGGCTGTGAAGACTCTTAGGGAGGGCACCATGTCAAGTGCCGCCTTTCTGCAAAAGGTGGTCATTTCATTTCATTTCGCCATATGCTAAATGTTCTCTAAACCTGGTTATATCGAAACTCCTAGTTTGTCCAATATATTTCAATATTTTACTGATACAGGAAAAATCAGGTGTTTGCGCGTCAAATTAGTTTCTATCTTTGATTGTAGGTTGCTGTGAAGACTCTTAGGGAGGGCACCATGTCAAGTGCCGCCTTCCTTCATCTCATTTCGCCATATGCTAAATGTTCCCTAAACCTGGTTATATCGAAACTCCTAGTTTGTCCAATATATTTCAATATTTTACTGATATAGAAAAAATCAGTTGTTTGCATGTCAAATCAGTTTCTATCTTTGATTGTAGGTGGCTGTGAAGACTCTTAGGGAGGGCACCATGTCAAGTGCCGCCTTCCTGCAAGAGGTGGCCATTTCATTTCATTTCGCCATATGCTAAATGTTCCCTAAACCTGGTTATATCGAAACTTCTAGTTTGCCCAATATGTTTTAATATTTTACTGATATAGGAAAAATCAGGTGTTCGCGCGTCAAATCAGTTTCTATCTTTGATTGTAGGTGGCTGTGAAGACTCTTAGGGAGGGCACCATGTCAAGTGCCGCCTTCCTGCAAGAGGTGGCCATTTCATTTCGCCATATGCTAAATGTTCTCTAAACCTGGTTATATCGAAACTCCTAGTTTGTCCAATATATTTCAATATTTTACTAATATAGGAAAAATCAGGTGTTTGCGCGTCAAATCAGTTTCTATCTTTGATTGTAGGTGGCTGTGAAGACTCTTAGGGAGGGCACCATGTCAAGTGCCGCCTTCCTGCAAGAGGTGGCCATTTCATTTCATTTCGCCATATGCTAAATGTTCCCTAAACCTGGTTATATCGAAACTCCTAGTTTGTCCAATATATTTCAATATTTTACTGATATAGGAAAAATCAGGTGTTTGCGCGTCAAATCAGTTTCTATCTTTGATTGTAGGTGGCTGTGAAGACTCTTAGGGAGGGCACCATGTCAAGTGCCGCCTTCCTGCAAGAGGTGGCCATTTCATTTCATTTCGCCATGTGCTGAATGTTCCCTAAACCTGGTTATATCGAAACTCCTAATTTGTCCAATATATTTCAATATTTTACTGATATAGGAAAAATCAGGTGTTTGCGCGTCAAATCAGTTCCGATCTTTGATTGTAGGTGGCTGTGAAGACTCTTAGGGAGGGCACCATGTCGACTGCCGCCTTCCTGCAAGAGGCGGCCATCATGAAGAAATTTAGACACAAGAGACTGGTGGCGCTGTTCGGAACAGGAGTTGATCTTTATCGTTGTAATTTATTGTGAAGTTTCTACAATGTGTCAATTTTTGAGTAATATTATATGTGCTATGTCCTAGTGCACTCGATTTTTTCATTTCGTCATATGCTAGATGTTTTCTAAACCTGGTTATATCGAAACATCTAATTTGTCCAATATATTTCAATATATTACTGATATAGGAAAATTCAGGAGTTTGCGTGTCGATGCATTGAAAAATGAGTTTCTATCTTTGATTGTAGGTGGCTGTGAAGACTCTTAGGGAGGCCACCATGTCAAGTGCCGCCTTCCTGCAAGAGGTGGCCATTTCATTTCATTTCGCCTTGTGCTAAATGTTCTCTAAACCTGGTTATATCGAAACTCCTAGTTTGTCCAATATATTTCAATATTTTACTGATATAGGAAAAATCAGGTGTTTGCATATCAAATCAGTTTCTATCTTTGACTGTAGGTGGCTGTGAAGACTCTTAGGGAGGACAAATGTCAAGTGCCGCCTTCCTGCAAGAGGTGGCCATTTCATTTCATTTCGCCATATGCTAAATGTTCCCTAAACCTGGTTATATCGAAACTTCTAGTTTGCCCAATATGCTTCAATATTTTACTGATATAGGAAAAATCAGGTGTTTGCGCATCAAATCAGTTTCTTTCTTTGATTGTAGGTGGCTGTGAAGACTCTTAGGGAGGGCACCATGTCGACTGCCGCCTTCCTGCAAGAGGCGGCCATCATGAAGAAATTTAGACACAAGAGACTGGTGGCGCTGTTCGGCGTCTGTTCGGAACAGGAACCGATCTACATTGTGGCGGAATACATGTGCAAAGGCAGTCTGCTGGATTTCCTGCGCAAAGATGAGGGTAGAGCGCTCATTTTCGAGGACCTCGTCTACATCGCGTTCCAAGTAGCGAGCGGGATGGAATATTTGGAATCGAAGCAGTTGATCCACAGGTAAAATACCGTACCGAATTCATTTTTTGTTATTGCAGGTGATATGCTTACAACTATGGTGTAACTAGTCATTAGAAAAAAGTATAGGTTCAATGGACCTCCTTATTAAAAAAAAACTTGTTTTGAAAACATAGAACAAGTCCACTGAGAGATGGAATCTGTCCAAACCTCTTTCACTCGATGAATCATAATTTACATTCAATGTACAGGGTGGCCAAATGAGAATGCAAAGTGCTGTATTTCGGAAGCTATTCGTTTTAGAGACTTGCGGTGAAAAATAGGATGACTAAAGTGGCCAAAAGAAAATCCTGGAAATTGTGTTCAGGTTTCCAAGATGGCCGCCAGGGGGCGTAATTGTCATCTGAATATTTTAAAGTGATTTTTCATTGAAATCCACCTAGTAAATGTTTCAAACAAATATCATCACTAAAAATTAGACATATCACAGGTAAGATGGGTTTGATGTAGCAATTAATGCTTGTTCCTACGAGATCAAGTTTATTGAAATCCGTTCATTCGCTTAAAAACATTGAAATACCCCCCACCACTCCATTTTAATAGATACGTCAAAAAGTGTTGAACAAAAATTACTCTAATGAAGCTCATCTCTCAAAAGCATATATATTTTTAAAACATTTACTAGGTGGATTTCAATGAAAAATCACTTTAAATGTTTCAGATGACGGTTACGCCTCCTGGAGGCCATCTTGGAAACCTGAAAATAATTTCCAGTATTTTTTTGACCACTTTAGTCATAGTATTTTTTACCGCAAGTCTCTAAGACGAATATCTTCCGAAATACAGCACTTTGCATTCTTATCTGGCCACCCTGTACAATCATTATTATAAGTTAAGAAAAGAATCGAATCTATAGAGTTTTTAAATCAGCATATTCAATTGCATATTTCGATATACCAGATATAAAAGTGTATCCATGCTAAGCTGAGTGAAAATTTGATATTTTTTCTCCATACCTTCATTTCTTTTCTCCAAACCTCTTTCAATACAAATTGTCACTGACAAGCTAGTGAATTTTTCTTTTAGGCTCTCTGATAGGAAAATTATTTGAACGCAGTGACATTTTGGGGCAAATCATCTGATTTGTCCTTACTTCATGTATATTGAAATAATATTTATATTTTTATTTCATAGAAAAGAAAAGAGAAAATCCCAAAAAATCTGGAATAATAAACCAACCCTGGCTTGCTTAACTTTTATATATCCTACTTTCCCAACTTGAAGGATTAGTTACCTGTGGACAGGTTGGATGAACCTTCATTTTCGGAAATTAGGCAACAATATCTACATTAAAATACGATGTACCGGATTAACTTGAAAGGGTTGATAGCCAATACATATTATTAGCTACTAAGAAAACGAATTCAACAGTGGTGAACTATTGGAGTCTAATTGATCGTTAAGTAAAATGTCAAAAATTATTGAGTTTGTTGATTTCTAATGATTCAAAATTATTGAGTGTCATTCCTCCATTTTCTACGTGTAGAATTTCGAAATTATCATCAAAACTATGGTTTCCTTCTAATATATGGTTGGCGTATGTTGAATTTGTTTTCTTTTTCAAATAAATTCATCTTATGTTCATGAATGCGCTGATAAAACGTACGACCTGTCTGACCGATATATACTTTGGGAGAAGATCCACAGTTGAGTTTGTATACCCCTGGTTTTTGGAATTTATTATTTTTGATAATCCTTCCCAACGTGTTATTTGTTCTATATGCTACTTTCAAGTCCTGTTTATGTAGAAATGTAGCTAATTTTTCAGTTGATGATCCGAAATAGGTTAAAGTTCTATAATTTTGATCATTATTCTTGATGGTAGGATAAACTTCTTGAATATCTTTATTATGAAGTTTTTTAGAAAGACTACTGTCTATCAATTTAACGTATCCGTTGTTGACTGCAATCTGTTTTATGATATTGATACAAATTACAATGGGAATAACTGGTGTTAAGAGGCGATCTTTTAAGTATATGTATACGAATTACCTGGAATCAGTATGTTAGATCCGGCTCGAAGGACCAATTATGTAAACGTATTACCTGGAATCAGTGTATTAGATCTGCTCGAATGGCTTTTTTATGTATCTCTTCAATAATTTTCAATAGTCTTGACAGTATTTTCTGAATTTCTATTATGACAACCTTCTTCTCTTATGTTTTCCCAATCATTAACCAAATTATACAATGTAAACATTTCAACAATTGTATGAGGATAACGATAAAGATATAAATCCACAACAGTGTATGTAGATAAAAATAATCACATGCTCATGAAATGCTATAACATGGTGTTGATTCCTAGGGATCTGGCTGCCCGGAACGTGCTGATCGGCGAGAACAATGTTGCCAAGATATGCGATTTCGGCTTAGCGAGGGTCATCGAGGACAACGAGTACTGCCCGCAGAAGGGGTCCCGCTTCCCCGTCAAGTGGACCGCCCCGGAAGCCATCATCTACGGCAGGTTGGTATCGTGGAAATCTCAGATGAACGAATAGACTAGATAAAGCAAAAATATTCAAAACGAACCTAGCAACATGATACTTGGATGGTGTTGTATTCAATCGCATCCACAATACACAACAGCTTTAGATAGTTTGTTCGGGAAACACATAATACACCGAACCGAGGGGTTGACCACATAGAAATTCCGGTGTATAATTGATAGGAATTCCGGGGAATTCCTAGGTATTCCGGTTAATTCCGGGAAATCAATATGAAACATTCATGTCCAAGATAATAAACAACTCTTTATTGTATAGATTCGAATCATCGAAATTTACGTGTCCTGTCTATATAGCGATTCTTCCATTTTAAGTTAAATTGAATCAACGTGATCGAGAAAACACAAATTTTCTCTAGTGGCGTACCGATTTTTTTCTGAGGGGGTCAAAAATAAAAAAAATCCAAAAAATTGCAAAAATTCCTCAGTTTCTCGATCAAGTCGGAGGTGTGACGTACCAATTTTGTTTCACAGGGAGTCAAAATGAAAAAATCGAACCTGACCGCAAAAAAATCTAATATTCTTTAGGGGCGTACCAATTTGTTTTCTAAGGGGGTCAAAAATTGAAAATTGTACGTGATCGAAAAGACACCAATTTTCTCCATTGGCGTACCGATTTTATTCCTAAGGGGGTCAAAATTTCGAAAAATCAGAAAAATTCCAGAAATCCCGGTAATCTTTGATTTATGGATTCTCGATCATCCTGCTGATTGAGCTGTTCACGTAATCGAAATTTGTTCAGAGGCGTACCAAATTTTTCTCTACGCGGGTCAAAAATAAAAATTGAACGTGACCACAAAAAAACTGATTTTCTCCAGTGGCGTACCATTTTATTTTCTATAGCCGTGAAAAATTAAAAACTACGTGATCGGAAAAACTCTGATAATTTCCTCCAGAGGCGTACCAATTTTGTTTCCGAGGGGGGTCGAAATGAAAATTCGAACCTGACCGAAAAAAAACTCTAGTATACACCCGGAGCGTACCAATTTATTTTCTAAGAGGGTCAAAAATAGAAAAGTGTAGGTGATCGAGAAGACTCGAATTTTCTTCAGTGGCGTACCGATTTTTTTTTTCGAGGGGGTCAAAATTTCAAAAATTCAGAAAAATTCCAGAAACCCCAAAAATTGCAAATTTGCAGATTCTCGATCAAGTCGGACGTGTGGTCGTACGGCATCCTGCTGATAGAGCTGGTCACGTAATCGGAATTTTTTCAGAGGCGTACAAATTCTTCTCTACGTGGGTCAAAAATAAAAAACGAACGTGACCACAAAAAACTGATTCTCTCCAGTGTCGTACCAATTTATTTTCTTAAGCGGTGGAAAATTAAAAACTACGTGATCGAGAAAACTATTTCCTCCAGAGGTGTACCAATTTTGTTTCTGAGGGGGTCAAAATAAAAAATCGAACCTGACCGCAAAAAAACTCTAGTATACTCCCGGAGCGTACCAATTTGTTTTATAAGAGGGTCAAAAATATAAAAGTGTAGGTGATCGAGAAGACTCGAATTCCCTTCAGTGGCGTACTGAGTTTTTTTTCCAAGGGGGTCAAAATTTCAATAATTCTGAAAAGTTCCAGAAATCCCAAAAATCGCAAATTTGCAGATTCTCGATCGTCAGACGTGTGGTCGTGCGGCATCCTGCTGATAGAGCTGGTCACGTAATCGGAATTTTTCCAGAGGCGTACAAATTCTTCTCTACGTGGGTCTGATTCTCTTCAGTGTCGTACCAATTTATTTTCTTAAGCGGTGGAAAATTCAAAACTATGTGATCGATAAAACTCTATTTCCTCCAGAGCCGTATAAATTTTGTTTCTGAGGGGGTCAAAATAGCGTACCAATTTGTTTTCTGAGAGGGTCAAAAATATTAAATTGTAGGTGATCGAGATGACTCGAATTCCCTTCAGTGGCGTACTACCCAATTTTTTTTTTCAAGGGGGTCAAAATTTCAATAATTCTGAAAACTTCCAGAAATCCAAAAAATCGCAAATTTGCAGATTTTCGATCAAGTCGGACGTGTGGTCGTACGGCATCCTGCTGATGGAGCTGTTCTCATAATCGACATATTTCAGGGGCGCAATATTTTATCTCTACGGGGGTCAAAAATAAAAATTGAACGCGACCACAAGAAAACTGATTTTCTCCAGTAGCGTACCAATTTATTTTCTAAAGCGGTGGAAAATCAAAAAACTACGTGATCGGAATAACTCTTGATTTCCTCCAAAATGAAAAATTAAACCTGACCGAAAAAAAACCTAATATACTCCCGGGGCGTACCAATTTGTTTTCTAAGGGGGTCAAAAATTCAAAATTGTAGGTAATCGAAAAACGCCAATTTTCTCCAGTGGCGGACCGATTTTTTTTCTTCTAAGGGGGTCAAAATTTCGAAAATTCAGAAAAATCCCAGAAACACCAAAAGTCGCAAATTTGCAGAATCTCGATCAAGTCAGACGTGTGGTCGTACGGCATCTTGCTGATAGAGCTGGTCACGTAATCGGAATTTTTTCAGAGGCATACAAATTCTTCTCTACGTGGGTCAAAAATAAAAATTGAACGTGACCACAAAAAACTGATTTTCTCCAGTGTCGTACCAGTTTATTTTCTTAAGCGGTGGAAAATTAAAAACTACGTGATCGAGAAAACTATTTCCTCCAGAGGTGTACCAATTTTGTTTCTGAGGGGGTCAAAATAAAAAATCGAATCTGACCGCAAAAAAACTCTAGTATACTCCCGGAGCGCACCAATTTGTTTTATAAGAGGGTCAAAAATATAAAAGTGTAGGTGATCGAGAAGACTTGAATTCCTTTCAGTGGCGTACTGAGTTTATTTTCCAAGGGGGTCAAAATTTAAAAAATTCAGAAAAGTTCCAGAAATCCCAAAAATCGCAAATTCGCAGATTTTCGATCAAGTCGGACGTGTGGTCGTACGGCATCCTGCTGATGGAGCTGTTCACATAATCGACATTTTTCAGGGGCGCAATATTTTTTCTCTACGGGGGTCAAAAATAAAAATTGAACGCGACCACAAGAAAACTGATTTTCTCCAGTAGCGTACCAATTTATTTTATGAAGCGGTGGAAAATTAAAAACTACGTGATCGGAATAACTCTTGATTTCCTCCAAAATGAAAAATTAAACCTGACCGAAAAAAAAACTAGTATACTCCCGGGGCGTACCAATTTGTTTTCTAAGGGGGTCAAAAATTCAAAATTGTAGGTAATCGAAAAAAAACGCCAATTTTCTCCAGTGGCGGACCGATTTTTTTTCTTCTAAGGGGGTCAAAATTTCGAATATTCAGAAAAATTTCAGAAACACCAAAAGTCGCAAATTTGCAGATTCTCGATCAAGTCGGACGTGTGGTCGTACGGCATCCTGCTGATGGAGCTGTTCACATAATCGACATATTTCAGGGGCGCAATATTTTTTCTCTACGGGGGTCAAAAATAAAAATTGAACGCGACCACAAGAAAACTGATTTTCTCCAGTAGCGTACCAATTCATTTTCTAAAGCGGTGGAAAATTAAAAACTACGTGATCAGAAAAACTCTTGATATCCTCCAAAATGAAAAATTAAACCTGACCGAAAAAAAAACTAGTATACTCCCGGGGCGTACCAATTTGTTTTCTAAGGGGGTCAAAAATTCAAAATTGTAGGTAATCGAAAAACACGCCAATTTTCTCCAGTGGCGGACCGATTTTTTTTCTAAGGGGGTCAAAATTTCGAAAATTCAGAAAAATCCCAGAAATCCGAAAAATCGCAAATTTGCAGATTCTCGATCAAGTCGGACGTGTGGTCGTACGGCATCCTGCTGATGGAGCTGTTCACGTACGGCCAGGTGCCCTACCCTGCGATGCACGGCCGAGAGGTGATCGAGCTGGTCGAAAGCGGCTACCGAATGCCGAAACCGACGGCGCATCACGTGCCCGACGAGATCTACCAGATCATGTTGAACACGTGGGACGTGAATCCGGAGAAGAGGCCGACTTTCGAATTCCTGACGCACTATTTCGAAGGTATTTATTCGCCTGTTCGATCAGTAAATTATTCCATAAATGAAAGAAAAACTCCAAGTCGGTCGACCACTTTTTGTAATTTCGATGGTACTGTTCGTTTTTCCTGACCCATAAAAGGTTTGTTCTATTCTGACACAATATAAAGTGCTCAAAGAAACAAGTGGGCCACTGAAATATTTGACAATTTTCAAACTGCCATATCTCCTTAGAAAATGAATGGATTTTCATTGCCTTATCTGAGAAATCACGAAATCAATTCGAGATATTGAGCTGAGCAATCGATCCAAATGAAGGATTTGTGTTTATCATAGCATATGGTTATGGCAGCACCAAACTGAACAGACGATTTCACCAAATTCTGAACATTTCTCCAAAAAAATCATATTATCTTTTGTTGAACTTGTCGATGATTTCAACGCAATATGAATCCATTTTCTAGGATGTGTTCCATCGTATAGAGTGGCAAAATGCTTTGAATGTGGCTTGCATGATTTTAAAATCGGAAATGTTGCGATAAAAGCCTGAAAATGAAAAATTATCGATTTTCAACATCCTGTATGAGGAATATGGAAAATTACAAAACCGTTTCGAGATATTGGCTTGAACGATCGATTAATAGAAAAATTAAATAAATTCCCTGGAATACGGAAGCATTTGAATTCTCTCATTTTTGTGATACTTTTCTCGAACATTTGGTATATAATGACAGAGAAACTCCCGACGAGTTTTGAACGGAGAATCTTGAATAGAAAGATGGTATCTTCCAAGCACTGCATTCCGATTGAAAATCCATTCATTTTCTAAGGAGATATGGCAGTTTGAAAATTGTCAAATATTTCAGTGGCCCACTTGTTTCTTTGAGCACTTTATATGTTTTCCTCAACATCCATAATGTATTTTAGGTCTTATTTAGACTGATGATGGCCGTTGTGCCGAAACCGGTTGAAAAAAATAAAGTGTGGTGGACCGATTCATTTATGAATGCTGTGGGGCCACTTTGAGAATGGATCTTGTTCATAGATTAGTGAATTATTTGTTCGTGGAAGTTATATTCGATACGCGACGTTTCGGACGGAAGCCTCATGCCTTCCTCAGAGCTAAACGTATACAGTGTGCTAAAGATAAGGATGAACAGCATGGTGTTTTCGGTCACCGTAAAAGTTACACAGAAGGTTAAGTGGGTAAAAAGTTGCGTAATCGTGAGGTCAATAAATAGTTGTTGGGAAATCCCAAAAATGTTATCTGCTTCCAGAGATATTCGTTAAAAACCGGAATTTGTTGATATGGTTTCTATTTTCTTGAGTTATCGGAAGAACCAAAGGCCATTTTATGACCTCTATGAAATGGCATTCATAAAATCTCCATACGTTCCGTTTTGAAGAAACTATCAACTTCGTTGTTTCTTATGGCTCTAAAAAAAGTAGGTACATCCTGTATGACCTACCATTTTTTATTGCTAATGCGAAGATGTACGGCCCAATATGTTTTATGCAGAAAAAATGCTTTAGTGCCATATGAAAAATGAGGTTGATGGTTTCTACCAAATGAAACATTGTAGGAAAATTATGTGAATACCATTTTGTAGAGGTGGAAAAGTGCCAATGAGACAGTGCCTCTGGTAATCCGAAATTCTTCAAATAAATTTAAAAAAAAATAGAAACCAAATCGATCTAAAATCTACGGAAGTCGAGAACATTTTTGGACTTTTTCAACATCTATTTATCGACCCCACAATTGCGCAACTTTTTACAAATTTGATCTTGTGTGTAACTCTTATAGGGCTAGTGATATCCCCATGCTGTACATTCTTATTTTGAGCAAACTGTATAATGTTTATCAGCAATTTATTGAAAGTATGTTAAATTATTTCTTGTCGAATCACAGATGCCATCTGACATTTTATCTGCATTCCTCATATCAACTTTCAAAAATGCAAATTAAAAAAAAATGAATCTCTGGTAGAAGTCCATGTTTGTTCAAAGTGGAGTGGAATTTTTCAAAAAGAAGAAGGAAAGCTCAAAGTCGTCTCCACTACTTTATTAATGATGTAAATCAATCAAAGGGAAAAGTCCATCTTCAGCCGTATTTAGAAGTTACTACAAGCAAAGGCACGTGAAAATATACATATTGTTATATATAAAAAAAATTACTTACTCAAGTCCCAGAAGGAAAACTTGGCGAGCACTCAAAGGTGCTCGTCATTTTCTTCAAGAAAGCAACAGTTAGTTTTCCCCACAGTCATAATCACCTTGTAAAACTCCACTTATGACCCACCTGATTCCGAATAGGTTGTATTTTAATTGAATCACTTCATTTCAGGGTTCAACGTGACATCGGAAGTTCCTTACAGAGAAGTGCCCGACTAAAGTCGGCGATAACTTGGGCAAGTCTTGAAATATTTTCATTTGCCAAAATTATTGTTTTCCTCTTCATCACAATTCATCTTAAATACTGTGTAAGATCTCATTTAGGTTTAAAGGTCTGCTTCATTTTTCACCGGTAGTACGTGTGGTAGGTACGTCCGCAATAGCACCAAAATGCCGGCCGTCCTTCTAAAAGGCCGACAATCACAAATAACAGATAACAGCTTCAAGACTTCTTTTTTTTTAACAATTTTCTTCAAGAAATTTTATAACTCATCTCATAATTTGATGCGTTGAAGGAAACGTTAGGTGTTGATGGAATAAAAAAAGACTTTTTGCTTTAAACCTTCAGGTTTTTGTTCAACAGGAAGATTATTTCAATCAAAACAAAGGTGCCAAAACAAAAAAATGGTGAGAAGGTATTTTAATTCGTTGAAATATCACACCAGTTTAGTTCAGAATCAGATTTGAGTGATACAGCATAAAAAACCCATTTCTACAAATCAGAAGGAATTTATCAAATTCATTGAAAAATCTACACTACATCATCTGATTCATATAATGGCAAATCTTCATTTCCAACTGCAATGAGACATATTTTCCTTACTTCACTCAACATCTCATTTTACGCTTCTTAAAGAGTGAGGACACGCTTGTCATGTTGCTGAAAAGCTGAACAAAAACATGAGACACAAATACGTTTTATAAGAGATTGAATGTTATTTTTTTGTAGCCCTTTATTGTAGGAGTTCAGACATATTATTATTTGAAACCGTAACAGTGGTGTAACACCAAAGGCACACGTAGTTATATCAATATCAAATCCTTGAATTTATACTCATGAAATGAATATTGGAATTTGAAACTTTAACAAACACTTGAAATATCTTCTTGACTTTGGGCCACTTAAATAAATGTTAACCATCATTATTAGAATTTTCGCAATTCGTTACTGAACAAGACATATTCAAAAAAAATATCAGTGGTGACAAGATGTTCGAGGCACTCTAGTTGGTGACTATTTATTGTTTCTGAGATTTGTGATCATCAATTACTTGATTTTGAGTATTTTGAGTATTCATTGCTTAATTCTTGTGAAACATGGATTGGTGAAAACCGCATATATCTAATCTCTTCCGAGATATAAGCGAAAAAGTTTCATAACTCTATAATAACGTTCAACTACCACACGTACTGCTTCATACGTTTGTATTTTGTAGTTACAAATAATGTTCTACAAAACCTTTTTTTTTTTTCGTCGAACAACAGTTGATTTTTTGTGATATCCTTTAGTTCATACATTGTCGGCTGAATGTGAGAAAAAATCAAGTTGCCTGGACTATCAGGTCTCCTCTTTCCTTTAAAATTCCATTTAGGTATCTTTTTTACCGACCGACACTCCAGTATGGAATTTGGCGCCATCTCTACGGTCTGTACTGAACTAAAATTGTGTCAAATTCAAAATGGCGATATGTTTTTAGTGAGCTCGCGAAAAATTTTTTAGATGCCTCTTCCACAGTAGTAACAGCGTTGGTGTTTTTTCGTAGTCTCGAAATGCATGGAAGGTTTATTTACCTTTCTTTATATTCTTACATATTCATATAGTTATTTGTGGTCACTGGGCACGCCTGTGGTTTTTGTTTGTTCACTCGATCCCCTGCCGAGTCCCCTGCAAGTTTACTCATGAAAAGACACAAATATTCGTTTTTTGCTGAGCTTCTGGCTGTGAATCAAAATTCAAAACATTATTAGGTATTAGTCAAACTGGAATATGAACTGATGACAGTGGAAGCACAGCTTACAGGACACAGGTGCTGTGATGGAAGCATGTAAAAGTGGAAAAATGACTGAAGTAGGTGTATCATCCTAGTGAGACAAGAAATGGAATTTTTACGCCAATATTTTATCAACAGGAGAACAGGCAGAGTTTGAACAAAGTGTTAATGGAGAAAATTAAGACTTGTTGTAAGGCAAGCATCAAAAGAAATCAAGCAAGAAGCACAGTGAAAATGATGAAAACACTGTTCAGTTGGTGCTGGATCAGCTGATTTTCCTTTTGAGTATTATACCTACTCTTACTAGTAGTGTGTGGCTATTGACTACAAATTTACAATTGGCTTCCAGACATATTCGATGATAGTAAAAGGTGACATTCAAGTTATCTGTTTCAATTATGTTTAAAACAATTGTTTTCAGGATTGTATCAACTCATTGGGAATTTTGGATGTGGATCAATTGGTGAAACTATGACTATTGAAATCAAGAAAGTATTTATTTGTCCATGACCTATGATATTTGATCTCCTATCTGATAGTTTCTTGCTTCATAGCATATGAACATATGGGAACTTCTAAACAGAAAGGTATTTTTGTTAATATATTATTAATATTACTATGGTAAACAGAGTGGATGTCAGTAGGTATACCTACACCTACTTTTTCACACGTTTTTGGTAGGTAGCTAATACCTAACAAATTCCACTGGATCATACTGATGTTACCTATCCATATTTATTTTAGCATTGCATTCACTTTGGAATTTTCATATAGTTCAAATAATGTTCGAACCCATCAACAGTAGATGCATGTAGATTATGTTCAGATTGACATTATAAATATAAGACTGGTATGTGTATAAATGATAATATCCTGTTGGATTCTATATGATTGGATCAACTGATTTTTAACCAAAACATCAAACCTCAGAATGAACAAATTGATGAATTATTTTTTACATTTCAAAATATGTAGAGAATAATAATTGATCCTGGCATAATAGGTATGGAGACATTTTGTGCATAATTAATGGTTTCCTTGGTGTATAGAATAGATATTATGACCGGTGTGAAAATAGAAACGGTCTCCGTATCGGAAACGAAATGATAGTATATGCGCACAGGTGTAAAATGTTATTACATCGATTCTTCCGTTTTAACATTCAGATATCGACTGAAACAATTGCGATCCAAATGGTTTGCGTCAATATGATGATTATAATGATGAATTGGGGTATACACACAAATAGGGTGCTACTACCCCTATATATAGATTGATATCTTCAGGACTAATCAAAACAAAATTAACTCATCGTTTTTGAAAATCTATATTCGATAGGATATTCAAACTGAGTGAGAGAAACATACCAACCCTGTTCCAGAATTTGTATCTCAAAACTCACCCTGGAAACCACCCCCGAATAGATGAAAATTACGTAAAATTATGTGAAATAATCGTTTCTGAAAATTTCTTTCTGACAATATCATCAGAACGAACAGAGAAAACATACCTACCCTGTTTCAGAATTTGTATCCCAAAACTCACCCTGAAAACCACCCCCGAATAGATGAAAATTACGTAAATTTATGTGCAATAATCGTTTCTGATTTTTTTTTTCTCACAATATCATCAGAACGAAGAGAGAAAACATACCTACCCTCTTTCAGAATTTGTATCTCAAAACTCACCCTGGAAACCACCCCCGAATAGATGAAAATTACGTAAAATTATGTGAAATAATCGTTTCTGAATTTTTTTTTCTCACAATATCACCAGAACGAAGAGAGAAAACATACCTACCCTGTTTCAGAATTTGTATCTCAAAACTCACCCTGTAAACCACCCCCGAATAGATGGAAATTACGTAAAATTATGTGCAATGATCGTTTCTGAAATTTTTTTTCTCACAATATCATCAGAACGAACAGAGAAAACATACCTACCCTGTTTCAGAATTCGTATCTCAAAACTCACCCTGGAAACCACCCCCGAATAGATGGAAGTTACGTAAAATTATGTGTAATGATCGTTTCTGAAAATTTTTTTCTCACAATATCATCAGAACGAACAGAGAAAACATACCTACCCTGTTTCAGAATTTGTATCCCAAAACTCACCCTGAAAACCACCCCCGAATAGATGAAAATTACGTAAAATTATGTGCAATGATCGTTTCTGAAAATTTTTTTCTCACAATATCATCAGAACGAACAGGGAAAACATACCTACCCTGTTTCAGAATTTGTATCTCAAAACTCACCCAGGAAACCATCCCCGAATAGATGAAAATTATGTAAAATAATCGTTTCTGGAAATTATTGGACGTATTAAGCTCCTCCCTACACTTGCCAACAGGTACAACCACCCCTTCCAGTGAAAAAAACTCATGTTTTGAAACTGATTTGCATAATCTTCGAGCAATATAGTGTCATTAATTGGTATTCAATTTTATTTTTATTCAGTAAAATATTTGTATATATAGATTTGAAGTACAACTTCAATATATTCATTCGTCTTCTCGTTGAATAATTTTCATTTTTCTTGGTACCTAGCATCAATTATCTCTGGAAGAATACTCTCTCTTTAGAATTTAATCGACTTTGGAATCATCTCATTCTATATATTTTCATTTCTGAATATTCAACCAAACCATCAGGAGGTGCACCAAAGAATGGAAATTTAGCATCAACAAAAAGTCCCAGAAGTGCCAGGGAGGTACAACCTGTTTTGGCGCGAAGAGCTGAGTGAGTCATGTGTACAATTTGACTAAACACGCAACCGCGAGATTTGAAGATATGTTTATTATTATTTCCTCAGATCATTTTGAATGATGTTGCATGAGCATAACACAACGGAGATAGTTTCCAAGGAAGGTTTTGACATAAAAATTCTGAAAAAGGCATGTTTTCTCTCTTCGTTTAGAATATACGGAATACGGAATATAGGAAGGCGTTTTCAGAAACGATGATTTTACATAATTTTACGTAATTTTCATCTATTCGGGGGTGGTTTCCAGGGTGAGTTTTGAAATAAAAATTCTGGAACAGGCTAGGTATGTGTTCTCTGTTCGTTCTGATGATATTGAGAGAAAGACATTTTCAGAAACGATTATTTCACATAATTTTACGTAATTTTCATCTATTCGGGGGTGGTTTCCAGGGTGAGTTTTGAGATACAAATTCTGAAACAGGGTAGGTATGTTTTCTCTATTCGTTCTGATGATATTGTGAGAAAAAAATTTTCAGAAACGATCATTGCACATAATTTAACGTAATTTTCATCTATTCGGGGGTGGTTTTCAGGGTGAGTTTTGGGATACAAATTCTGAAACAGGGTAGGTATGTTTTCTCTGTTCGTTCTGATGA